CCCCGCAGGGGCCCCCGCAGGGGCCCCCCCAGGGGGCCCCCCAGGGGGCCCCCCAGGCCACTGCAACCACATATGAAGCTATGGCGCAGCAACCCAGAGGCCCCCAGGAGCTCAACACCCCACAGAGGCCCCTAGGGCCCCAGGGGCCCCAGGGGCCCCCAAACATAGAGCAGCAGTGGATTGAGGGGCAGCTGCCTCAGGGAGCCTACAGCAGCAGCAGCAGCAGCAGCAGCGGTGACTTCACGCAAGAGGCTGTGAACGGGAGCAGCAAAGTGTGGGGCCCCGAGTGCTGCGTTGCTGCTTCTCTGGGCAGTGGGGAGGAGTTTGCTGCACCGCGGCCCATTGCTCCGTCTCTGGCTGCTCTTCTGGCAGTGAGCCTCTTTGCTGCTGCTGCTGTTGCTGCTGCTGCTGCTGCTGCTACCTACCAGCTGTCTAGTGCGAAGTGTCATTTGGCCAGAGTTGAGAGCACTAGCCGCAGCAGCAGCAGCAGCAAGGTCAGCAGCAGCAGCAGCAGCCGCAATAGTGTTTTGGGTGCGGACAGTTTTATAGTCGGAGTGTATCTGAGCCCCAGATGGTGCTGGTGCCGGTGCGGCCCTAGCAGCTGCAACTGCTGCTGCTGCTGCACCCCATGCTACCGTTGCCGCTGCTGCTGCTGCTGCTGCTGCTGCGGTTTGCTAGGACCTGGAGGGCGACGTCACTTTGCTGCGGCTGACCACAGCTGCTCTCTCTTGGAAAGATCTCACAGAGCGAGGCCAGCGAGAAGCAGCACCAGCTCCGGGGGCCATTCCGGAGCTGGGGGCCTACTGGCTTTGCAGGCAAGCAGCAGCAGCAGCAGCAGCAGCAGCAGCAGCAGGAGCGGAAGTGCTAGCATTAGCAGCAGCAGCGGCAGTGCGGGCGCTAGCAGCAGCAGAACAACAGCAGCAACGAGAAGGGTAGCAGCAGTAGCAGCAGCAGCAGCAGCACAAGCAAGAGCAGCAGCAGCACCGCGAGCACTAGGAGCAGCAGCAGGAGTAGGAATAGTAACCCTAGCTACAGCAGGGGCACCAGCACTGGCAGCAGCAGCAGGAACAACAGCAGCACCTGCAGTAGCAGCACTAGCACTCGAAGCAGCGGCAAGAAGAGCAGAAGCACTAGCAGCAAAAGCAGTAGCAGCAGCAATAGAAGCAGTGGCGAGAACAGCAGCAGCACTAGCAGCAGCAGCAGCGGCACTAACACTGGCAGGAGCAGCAAACAGCAGCAGCACTAGCAGCAGTTCAGCGAGCCCTAAGCGTCCTCCCAAGGTTTCATCCGTTGCTCCCTGCGGCTTTCCTTCTCCCATGCAATGCTGCTGCTGCTGCTGTTGCTGCTGCTGCTGCTGCTGCTGCTGCTGCGCTGCAGGGGCGCCTTGTGTGAGCGGCTGCAGGAGTGGGTGGAGATGGAAGCAGCTTACCGAATTGCTGTTACTCAAGGCGTTTCTCCTTTGGTGAGTTTTTGCTGCTTCGGGAGCAGCGCAGCAGCAGCTTCAGCTGCCAGCAGCTAGCTAGCCAACTCGCAGGCAGCAGCGAGCTAGCTGCTGTCGCTAGCTGCCACTGAGTCGCGCGCACCAGCAGCTGCTAGCTGCAGCTAGCTGCTGCTGG